GGTCCATATTACCCACCCATCAAAGAGATTTTTGGTTTTTCTCTATTATTTCTATGTGGATTACTCTTAGACTGCTATAACCAGCCCCTTATTACCATCTTGAATCCTTTTTTTTTTTTTTTTGAGATGGAGTTTCACTCTTGTTGCCCAGGCTGGAGTGCAATGGCGCGATCTCAGCTCACTGCAACCTCTGCCTCCCAGGTTCAAGCAATTCTCCTGTCTCAGCCTCCCAAGTAGCTGGGATTACAGGCGCCCGCCACCACGCCCAGCTGATTTTTATATTTTTAGTAGAAGCAGGGTTTCATCATGTTGGCCAGGCTGGTCTTGAACTCCTGACCTCAGGTGATCCACCTGCCTCATGCCTCAGCCTCCCAAAGTACTGGGATTATAGGCGTGAGCTACTGCGCCTGGCTTACCATCTTGAATCTTATATCTTAGTGGCTGTAGGACATTTTCATTTTGTGACACCTAGAGATACATTAAAAAAAACCCATACCATTTTGAAAGCTAAATTTTTGCAGGAATACTCAATGTGAATTATGTGAATTAAAAATTTCTACTTTGGGCTGGGTGGGGTGGTGCATGCCTGTAATTCTAGCACTTTGGGAGGCTGAGGTGGGTGGATCGCTTGAACTCAGGAGTTTGAGATCAGCCTGGGCACCTCAGCAAGACTGTCTCTACAAAAAAATACAAAAATTAGACAGGCGTCGTGGCACACACCTGTGGTCCCAGCTACTCAGGAGGCTGAGGTGGGAGGATGGCTTAAGCCCAGGAGGCGGAGGTTGCAGTGAGCTGAGGTCACGCCGCTACACTCTTGCCTGGGCGACAGAATAAGACCCTGTCTCAAAAAAAGTCTACTTTGTGTCTATATTTGATGTGTGCAGGTACTTCCAAGCCTATCTTTCAGAAGAACTTTTAAATCACCACATTAGGTTTACCTGCTGTAAAAGGTAACCATTTTCATGCTGCTGATAAAGACATACCCAAGGGGTATGATAAAGACATACCCAAGACTGGGCAATTTACAAAAGAAAGAGGTTGAATTGGACTTACGGTTCCATGTGACTGGGGAAGCCTCACAATCATGGCAGAAGGCAAGGAAGAACAAGTCCCATCTTACATGGATGGCAGCAAGCAAAGAGAGCTTGTACAGGAAAATTCTCCCTTATAATAACCATCAGATCCCATGAGACTTACTATCACGAGAACAGCACAGGAAAGACCTCCCCCCATGATTCAATTTCCCCCCACTGGGTCCCTCCCACAATACGTGGGAATTCAAACGAGATTTGGGTGGGGACACAGCCAAACCCTATCACCTGCAGGACTGAGGCCCTCACCACGCTAAGTGTGAGACCCTGTGGTCTCTGGCAGCAGGCCCCACACCGGGCAGTTTGCTTCTCTTGCTTTGCCTCCTATGTTGGTCCCTGTGTCAACCCTGGTCTAGGACATTCTTACCTGCTGAGCTCTGCCACCAAAGCCACACACCCCACCTGTCGCTCCCTACCAGACCTGCTTCCATTTAAAATGCCAGTTTCACAATTGGCTTTTAGGCCCTTAACCCTCACAAACCAAAACTCGTATTTTTATTCTTTAGATGTCTCTCATGAGGATCTTAAGAAGAAGGTAACTGATGAAGCACATTCAGAAGATCCTGGGTTTTGTGCTGGGGACAGAATACTCAAGTCCCAACCTTAGAGAAGCTAACAGGAAATGTAATCAAGTAAATAGTCAGTGCTTATATAGTGTGATCCGTGTGATGATGGGAGACGATAGAGTTTGTTATTTTCCCTACCTCAGTGTTATTAGGAGCAGACAGGACATGTCTGAAGCAGCGTCTTTAAGGCATGCAGTACTCTAGAAAGGTGAGTAGCTGTGGGTCAGCCTCCCTGGCTGCCTCTCTGGGAGCAGGAGAGGGAGGATTTGCTCTGGTCTGCTTCTTGGTTTCCCGTCTGCGCTTCTGCATGGTCCCTGTTCTCTATCACATAGGGCAGTAAAAGACGCCTGGTAGGAGTGGTGGGTTCAGCGTAGCTCCTCAGTAACATAGTAAGAGAGGGCACACTGAACATCAGGGTGGAATACAGGTTTAGCTGCTCTGTTAACTGTTAATTAGATGGACAGTTGTTAATATGAAAATAATTTTACTCCTTGAGCCTGGAATCTCTTTTTTTCTTTCTTTCTTTTTAGAGAAAGGGTCTCCCTCTGTTGCCTGGGCTAGAGTGCAGTGACATGATCACAGCTCACTGTAGCCTCAACCTCACAGGCTCCCACTTCACCCTGAGTAGCTGAGACTGGGACTATAGGCACATGCCACCACACCCAGCTATTTCTTTTTTTAAATTTTTTGTAGAGGCAGGGTCTCCCTGTGTTGCCCAGGCTTGTCATGAACTCCTGGGCTCAAGTGATCCTCCCACTTCAGCTTCCAAAGTGCTGGATTACAGACCTGAGCCACTGTGCCCAGCCATGTGTAGAATTCTTAAATACAAAAGAGAAGTCTATGAGAACTGATAACATACTGCGCTACAAGAAAGCCGAAGCCAGGTGTGGGGGCTCATGCCTGTAATCCCAGCACTTTGGGAGGCTGACACAGGCAGACCACTTGAGCCCAGGAGTTCAAGACTAGCCTGGGCAACATGATGGAATTCAGTCTCTACAAGAAATACAAAAATTAGCCAGGCATGATGACACATGCCTGTAGTCCCAGCTACTTGAGAGGCTGAGGTGGAATCAGTTTTTAAAGTTCTTCTTAAGGTAAATTTAGAATTGCAAGTTGTATGTAAGATTATGGTAGAAATTTGGTGCAGTCTTGGCTCACTACAGCCTCTACCTCCTGGGCTCAGCTGATTCTCCAACCTCAGCCTCCCAATTAGCTGGGACTAGTGATGCACACAACCATGGGTGGCTGTTTTTTGTTTTTGTTTTTTTTTTAATTGTAGTGTCGGGGTCTCACTATATTGACCAGGCTGATATCTAACTCTTGGGCTCAAGTGATCCTCCTGCCTTGACCTCCCAAAGTGCAGGGAATTACAGGCATGAGCTACTGTACCCAACCTAGATTTCTTAAACATTATTTGTGAATACTCCAACTTACAACGGTTTGTTAATAAGAAGAAGAAAGGCCGGGTACGGTGGTTCACACCTGTAATCCCAGCACTTTGGGAGGCTGAGGTGGGTGGATCACCTGAGGTCAGGAGCTTGAGACCAGCCTGGCCAACATGGCAAAACCCCATCTCTACCAAAATACAAAAATTAGCTGGGGGTGGTAGCGCACACCTGTAATCCCAGCTACTCAGGAGGCTGAGGCAGGAGAATTGCTTGAACCTGGGAAGCGTTGCAGTAAGCCAAGATTGCACCACTGCACTCCAGCCTAGGCAACAGAACAAGATTCCATCTCAAAAAAAATTAAAATTAATCATAAGAAACAAAGTAATTGAATTCTTTTTTTGTTTGTTTTTTGAGACGGAGTTTCGCTCTTGTCACCCAGGCTGGTGCAATCGCGTGATCTCAGCTCACTGCAACCTCTGTCTCCCGGGTTCAAGTGTTTCTCCTGCCTCAGCCTCCCAAGTAGCTGGGATTACAGGCGCCCACCACCACGCCCAGCTAGTTTATTGTATTTTTAGTAGGGTTTCACCATGTTGGCACATGCACCACGCCCAGCTATTTCTTTGAACTCCTGACCTCAGGTGATCCGCCCGCCTCTGCCTCCCAAAGTGCTGGGATTACAGGTGTGAGCCACTGTGCCCAGCCCTTGAATTCTTATATAGACCATCATTTGGTTGGGGATAATAGTTGGCATTTTAACATAGTGTTTCCAATCAGGTAGTTCAGCCATACATTAATAATGACAAGCAAGAGTTGAATGCCACTGTTGAGTGCATTTTGAAAAGCTCTGGAAGCAAGGCAACTTCCCCAGTGTCATTTGATTTAACTTGTGCTGTCCTCAATGAGTTATTTGAGCCTATATAGAAGGAGAGTTGGAGTCTTTAACGTTCAGAGTAGTTGACTTTGATTTATAATGCTAGGAAAATAATTTCTAATGCAGCTGGACATGGTTTCAAGAGATAATTCAAATAGCAGAGAATAACTGAAGGCAGTTTGGGAACGTGTGAGGTTGTTTTCAGTTGAAGGGTGCTGTTGGCATTTAGGGCCTGCGAGCCATGGGCTCTTGCCTCAGTCATGTGTGAAACCACAAAATCCAGAATTGTTCACCCCATAACATCAGTAACACTGAGAAACCCTAATTAGGGAGTGCTTTCACCTGCAGGTCATAGAAGTCCAACTTAGCGGCTTGCCCAGGTGGAGGCTTGTTTTCCTCACATCCTGAGTGGCACAGAGGCGGGCTGTGCGTGGCTGGTGGGGGCTCCATATGCCCAGAGTCCTGGGCACCTTCTGTCTTCCACGCCACCATCCTGAGCAGGGGCTTTCATCCTCACTGCTTCCAGATGGCTGCTCCACCCCCACAGGAGGGCGCGGCAGGGCAGAAGGTGTCCCTGGATAGGAAAGAATCATCAACAGAGAGCAGCCTGCATCTCACTGGTGACAGCTGTGTTACCTGGTAACCTTTCTTTTCAAAGGAGACCATGAAAAATAGTTTTAAAGTGGACACATTTCCCTCCTCATCAAATTAGGATTTTATACTTTAGGAAGAGGGGAAGAATGGATATGGTGTAATCAACTACCAGAAATGGTGTGTACTGTAGTAATCAGATTTTTGAAAGGCCCTAGATCTGTGGCTCTTAATTTTCAAATCTCGCAAATTGAAGTGGAAGTGCATGTGAGCCTGGCCCGAGGAGAGTCCCCTAGCCCCTCCCAGTCTTCTCACCGGGCTCTGATTTCCTTGTTTCTTGTGTTTGCTTGTACAGCTCCATTTCGGCAAAAGTGTATTTAGATTTTCTTTCACATTCCAGTAAATGTCTTTTTAAACTTTTTTGCAGACTTTGCATTTTATAGCCTACCCTTGAGCTACTGCATTTTGACTGAGATTTTTAAATTTTACACAGGTGATATTCTTGAATTTCATGGCTCAGAAGGAACAGGAAAAACAGAAATGCTTTATCACCTAACAGCACGATGTATACTTCCCAAATCAGAAGGTGGCCTGGAAGTAGAAGTCTTATTTATTGACACAGATTACCACTTCGATATGCTCCGGCTGGTTACAGTTCTTGAGCACAGACTATCCCAAAGCTCTGAAGAAATAATCAAATACTGCCTGGGAAGATTTTTTTTGGTGTACTGCAGTAGTAGCACCCACCTACTTCTTACACTTTACTCGCTAGAAAGTATGTTTTGTAGTCACCCGTCTCTCTGCCTTTTGATTTTGGATAGCCTGTCAGCTTTTTACTGGATAGACCGTGTCAATGGAGGAGAGAGTGTTAACTTACAGGAGTCTACTCTGAGGAAATGTTCTCAGTGCTTACAGAAGCTTGTAAATGACTATCGCCTGGTTCTTTTTGCAACGACACAAACGATAATGCAGAAAGCCTCGAACTCGTCGGAAGAACCTTCTCATGCCTCTCGACGCCTGTGTGACATGGACATAGACTACAGACCCTACCTCTGTAAGGCATGGCAGCAACTGGTGAAGCACAGGATGTTTTTCTCCAAACAAGATGATTCTCAAAGCAGCAACCAATTTTCATTAGTTTCACGTTGTTTAAAAAGTAACAGTTTTAAAAAACATTTTTTTATTATTGGAGAAAGTGGGGTTGAATTTTGTTGATATGTATCATAAAATTAGTCTTTTGCAGGGTACTATGCAAACCTTAAAATTTTTCTTTCTCAAGACAGAGTCTCACTCTGTCTGGAGTGCTGTGGCTGGAGTGCAGTGGCACAATCATGGCTCACTGCAGCCTTGAACTCCTGGCGTCAAGGGATCCTCCTATGTGTGCCTCCCAGAGTGCAGGGATTACAGGTGTGAGCCACTGCTCGTGGCCACAAGTTTTCTTTTCTTTCTTTCTTTTTTTTTGAGACAGAGTCTCACTCTGTTTCCCAGGCTGTTGGAGCGCAGTGGCACGATCTCGGCTCACTGCAACCTCTGCCTCCTGGGTTCAAGCGATTCTCCTGCCTCAGCCTCCCAAGTAGCTGGGATTACAGGCACTCACCACCACGCCGGCCTAATGTTTGTATTTTTAGTAGAGACACGGTTTCACCACGTTGGCCAGGCTGGTCTCAAACTCTTGACCTCAAGTAATCCACCCGCCTCGGCCTCCCAAAGTGCTGGGATTGCAGGCCCGTGCCTGGCCCTAAAGTTTTAAACTCCAGGGGAATTAACAGTATTTCTTTACAGAATGGATTTGTTAAACTAGCACAGTAAAACTAAAGACTATTCTGTTTCTAGGCTGTTGAATCAAAGTGATTTTAGCAATTAAACTTTGTATTAAGCTTGCTTTAAAAGGAAATAAATAATATATACATATATTTCTGCCTAAATAAAATGGACATATTTAACTTTGTGTCACATTTTTGGAATTCAGTTAAGTCCTTTGTTGTTTAAGAAAGTTTAAATGCATTTATTTATTTATTTGTTTGTTTTGAGATGGAGTCTTGTTCTGTCACTCAGGTTGGAGTGCAGTGGCGTGATCTTGGCTCACTGTAACCTCCGCCTCCCAGGTTCAAGTGATTCTCGTGTCTCAGCCTCCCAAGTAGCTGGGAGTAGAGGCATGCGTCACCACACCCAGCTAATTTTTGTTGTTGTTGTTTGTTTGTTTGTTTTTTGAGACGGAGTCTCGCTCTGTCACCCAGGCTGGAGCACAGTGGCGCAATCTCAGCTCACTGCAACCTCCGCCTCCCAGGTTCACACCCTTCTCCTGCCTCAGCCTGCTGAGTAGCTGGGACTACAGGCGCCCGCCACCATGCCGGGCTAATTTTTTGTATTTTTAGTAGACAGGGTTTCACCGTGTTAGCCAGGATGGTCTCAATCTCCTGACCTTGCAATCCACCCGCCTCGGCCTCCCAAAGTGCTGGGATTACAGGCATGAGCTGTTGCGCCTGGCGTCTTTTCTTTCCTTTTTTTCTCTCTCTCATATGTCTCTTTTTTTTTTTTTTTTTTTTTGAGACAGGATCTCAGTCTGTTTCCCAGCCTAGAGTGCAGTGTTACGATCACAGCTTACTGCAGCCTTGACCTCCCGGGCTCCAGTGAGCCTCCTACCTCGGCCTCTTGAGTAGCTGGGACTATAGGCGTGGACCACCACATCCAGCTAATTTTTGTATTTTTTTGTGGAGATGGGTTTCACCACGTTGGCCAGGCTGGTCTCAAACTCCTGGGCTCAAACAATCCATCTACCTCGGCCTCCCAGTGTGCTAGAATTACAGGTGTGAGCTACCATGCCCAGCCAATTACTAGTATTTTCTTACCTATTTAGAATAGTCAGGCATACCTCAAAATGGATTGAATGATGTCCAGCTGAGAGCTGGACAGGCTCTTTTTTTGTTGTTTTTGAGATGGACTCTCTCCCTCTGCTGCCCAGGCTGGAGTGCGGTGGCACAATCTCGGCTCACTGCAATCTCCACCTCCCAGGTTCAAGTGATTCTCCTGGCTCAGCCTCCCGAGTCGCTGGGATTACAGGCATGCACCACCACGCCCAGCTGTATTTTGTATTTTTAGTAGAGATGGGTTTGCCATTTTGGTCAGGTTGGTCTTGAACTCCTGACCTCAAGTGATCCGCCTGCCTCGGCCTCCCAAAGTGCTAGGATTACAGGCGTGAGCCACCGCACTTGGCATGGACAGGAACTTTGGTGCAGGGATGGCCCGAATGGGAGTGTGCACCTCAAGGGGTATACAAGGTGATATGGTGGAGGAAGAAAATTTTAGAAATTCTATTAATACATTTTAATTCAAGAAAAGATCCATTTCTATTGGTGTGATATTTAGATTGGCTTCAGCAGTCTCCTTCAATCTGTATGTCAGAGTGTCGTATGTCACATACGTATCTGAGTTACTCCACGGGAAAACCGGAAGGGATTTAGAGTCGTGTTCTCATGGGTTTGTTCATTTGTATGTTACCTCTTCAGTTAAAACTATTTCACTGTAAATGCACTTCTCTCATGAACGTTCTTTTCAAGGGTTTAAGAGGAACACTGCAAAGAAACTGAGCTGGAAATCATGTTCTTCAGAACGCAGCCTAGCAGATGCAGCAGGTCCTGTCCGTGCCCACCCACCAGTCCTGGTTCTCTGGCCCACGACAGTTTCCAAACAGCCAGGGCTTCTGAGGGTGTCTTCTGGACGTCACAGCCTGCTGGGCTGCATGTGGGGCAAGCTGGGCTGTCCTTCAACCAGGGGCATTTGGTGCATAAACACCTGGATTTGCTCAGCCCTCAGAGAGGACACTGAGCTGTTTCTCAGAGTGGCCCCAGCAGGAGGCACTCCCAGATGCTTACAGCAATAACCTCTTCATGGACACATCACTTGCTGCCCTTCCTCCCTTCCATTCCTCACTTCCCACTTTCTCAGGGGCCTCCTGGGATGTCTCCCTCGTGAACAAGGCCTGTCTTAGGAACGTGTCAGCAGACAGTAAAAAGTCATCAGACTAACAGCCCTTCAATGGTGTTTGCCCTTCAGCCACATTACGAAATTAAACAGGATGGCAGTTGTTCACACCCACACACCTGTACGCTCCCACTAAATATTTTATCATGAAAAAATACCCATATTCGTATGTGCTGCTCCCGTGATGTGTCTGCTATGATTTAGTTATATATTTTTTTTTTTTTTTGAGACAGAGTTTTCTGCCACCAGGCTGGAGGTGTAGTGTGTGGATCTTGGCCTCACTGCAACCTCCGCCTCTGAGCTCAAGCGATTCTCCTGACTCAGCCTCCCAAGTAGCTGGGATTACAGGCGCCTGCCACACGGCCTGGCTAATTTTTGTATTTTTAGTAGAGATGGGGTTTCACCATGTTGGCCTGGCTGGTCTTGAACTCCTGACCTCGGGTGATCCACCCACCTTTGCCTCCCAAAGTGCTGGGATTAAGACTTGAGCCACTGTGCCTGGCCATGAATATATATATATATATATATTTTAATAGTTCATCTTTCTGAATTTTGTGTACTTTTATTATATGCAATACATGTTATACTTAAGTAATCTATAAACATTTGTAAGTTGGGGAAATATGTTAGTTTCCCCCATCAGGGGGTATGGTCAGTACAGTTCAGAGTCTTTCTCTACTCCAGACTCCCACTTTCAGCTCCGCAGAAAAGATGTGAACATTCAGTTACCTTCCCTTTCAAGCTCTAAATTGTGCGTGCCAAGTGTGTATGAAAAACTCAGCAGCTCACAGCAGAAGTCTAGCCTTGAATATGATAGGATTTTCCATTTCCCCTTTCTATAAAAGAAGTGTTAATTTAATGGACTGTTATTCACAGATTTATAACTTATTCTTCAGGAACATGATTAAAAAATAATGAGCTTTCATATTAAATTATCAATTATATATTAATGTATCAGACTAAAGACTTCATTATCTTAAAAAGATTTGTTATTTGACATGTTGGAAGGAATTAAGAATACTGGCTAGGCTGGGCGCGGTGGCTCATGCCTGTAATTCCAGCACTTTGGGAGGCCGAGGTGGACGGATCACTTGAGGTCAGGAGTTCGAGACCAGCCTGGCCAACATGGTGAAATTCCGTCTCTACTAAAAATACAAAAATTAGCCGGGTGTGGTGGTGCACACCTGTAATCTCAGCTACTAGGGAGTCTGAGGCAAGAGAATTGCTTGAGCCCCAGAGGCAGAGGTTGCAGTGAGCTGAGATTGTGCCACTGCACTCCAGTCTGGGCAACAGAGTGAGACTGCATCTCAAAAAAAGAAAAGAAGAAAAGAATACCGGTTAATAATTTAAAAAAGACTTATACACTAGAAATTTTAAGGCTGGCATGGTGGCTCACACCTGTAATCCCAGCACTTTGGGAAGCTGAGGCAGGTGGATCATTTCAGGTCAGGAGTTTGAGACCAGCCTTGCCAACATGGTAAAACCCCATCTCTACTAAAAATATTTAAAAAGTTAGCCAGGCAGTAGAGGCATGTGCCTGTAATCCTAGCTACTCAGGAGGCTGAGGCAGGAAAATTGCTTGAGCCTGGGAGGTGGAGGGTGGAGTAAGCCGAGATTGTGCCACTGCATTCCAGACTGGGCAACAGTAAGACTCTGTCTCAAAAAAATAGAAAAAAAAAAATTTTAGCACTTGTAAAAAGAATTTACCTTATAAAGAGAAAGAGAGACACCACATTGTAAGTTACATATGTAGCAGACACCAGGGATGCAGGATAGAACCAGAAGAATAATAGAAGTGCATGTTTACAAATCTTAGAATATCCCATGTATTTATTTACCTGCAAACAACAACAACAACAAATGAGGATCATAAAATACTTTTCTTCTCAGGGTCATTTTAGTGTTCATTCATTCAGAATCTAGTGAAAAAAATACATGTGAAAAACAGTTCAGACATTCATTTCATATATACTATACAAAATAAGGTATGTGCCCTATCACTTGCTTCAAATATATAGTTTTCTGCTTTTAACTATAAGATGCTGTATGATCAATATCATTAATTTTTTATGTAGACTACTCTGTTATATACGGGTTATCTAAGAATGAGAGTGAAATAGACATTTTCAGATAAAGAAAAACAGAATTTACCACAAAAATTTCTGCACTAAAGGAACTTTTAAAAGATTATCCCAGAAAGTAAATCTGAGATGTCAGAAGCAATGATGAGTAAATGGTAAGTACTTGAGTAAATCTGAAGAAATATTTGGGAGGCCGAGACGGGCGGATCACGAGGTCAGGAGATCGAGACCATCCTGGCTAACACGGTGAAACCCCGTCCCTACTAAAAAATACAAAAAACTAGCCAGGCAAGGTGGTGGGCGCCTGTAGTCCCAGCTACTTGGGAGGCTGAGGCAGGAGAATGGCGTAAACCCGGGAGGCGGAGCTTGCAGTGAGCTGAGATCCGGCCACTGCACCCCAGCCTGGGCGACAGAGCAAGACTGTCTCAAAAAAAAAGAAATACTGACAGTAAGGCAATCCTAAGCAAAAAGAACAAAGCTGGAGGCATCATGCTACCCAGCTTCAAACTATACTATAAGGCTACAGTAACCAAAACAGCATAGTACTGGCACAAAAACAAACGTAGACCAATGGAACAGAATAGAGAATTTAGAAATGAGACCACACACTATAATTTTCAGATCTTCGACAAACCTGACAAAAACAAGCAATGGGCAATAGATTCTCTATTCAATAAATGGTGCTGGGATAAATGGCCAGCCATATGCAAAAAATTGAAAATGGACCCCTTCCTTATGCCATATACAAAAATTAGCTCAAGATGGATTAAAGACTTAATGTAAAACCCAAAATAATAAAAATCCTGGAAGACAA